GGAATAGTTGAACCATTGCTTGTAATCTTTGACTTGATAATGGTACCCAACTGGATATCCAACAAAGCTAATTTTGATGGCATAAAACCCTAGGCACCTTCTCCTCCTTCCTACTCTCATGGTGAATCAGAATAATGAGAGGTCCACGTTCACCTCCATCCTCTCAAAGCTCTCACCTCTTTCTAGACCTTCGCTCTAGGTTCCACTTGTCAACACTACTCTCAAGTAGAGAGAACCTGCTATATTTTTCCTTGAAGATGTTTTACGCCAATCCTATGATCTCTTTTGTTAGGCTTTGATCGACAACTATATGTAGGGGTGAGCAAATGGGTAGGTTCTACTTGGAACCAAATGGAACTGACCTCAAATCGGTGTTGAATTGACCCTACCCAATCTGTTATAGGGTAGGGTCTGGTTCCAAATTCTTGGAACTGACCCCTACCTAGGCCGGTTTCAGGGTCTGAGTGTTTACCCTACCCGAACCGACCCGATGAACCAACCTTGGTTGGCCTTGGTGGAACCTACCTTGGAACTAGGCTTGCCTTAAAATAAACCCCAAAACGCTTTTGGGGATGTGAATATTTGAACCCAAGTAAAGGTGTCAATTGGATTGGATTTGGTCTAATCCGATCCAATCCGTTGTAAGTTCACTTGCAAATGGATTGGACCCAATCCAATCCAAATCCAATACAAACCAAATCCAATCCAATCCATTAAAATGTAAATAGACTAGACTGGATTCAATCCAAACCAAATGAAATATCAAAAATTATATAAAAAGCTAGAACATATAAAGAATAACAAAAATATATTAAAATGAAGAAAATCTAAAAATTACAAAAATATACCCTTTTGGTATTGAAAAAGCACTTTTGTAAAGTGCTTTTACAAAAATACCTTTATGAAAGTACTTCATAAAAGTACTTTTATAAAAGTACTTCCGTAAAAGTGCTGTTATACAAGTACATACATATAAATGTTTTTGTAAAAGTACTTTTACAAAAGCGCTTTCGTAAGTGTTTCTGTAAAAATGTTTTTGTAAAAATACTTTTATAAAAGTTCTTTCATATAAGTGCTTTTACAAAAGTACTTTCTCAAAAGTGCTTTTGTAAAAGTATTTCCGTAAAAGTTCTTTTATAGAAGTGATTTCGTAAAAGCACTTTTATAGTAGTACTTCTGTAAAAGTGTTTTTATAAAAATACTTCCGTAAAAGTTTTTTTGTAAAAGTGATTTCATAAAAGTACTTTTATAAAAGTGCTTTTGTAAAAGTACTTTTCATAAAATTACTTTTACAAAAGTGCTTTTGTAATAGTGTTTTCTTAAAAGTGCTTTCATAAAAGGGATTTTTTGTTGGTTCAGTTTTGATTGGTTTTAAATTGGACAAGGGTTTGGCCTCATGATCAGATTATTGAGAATTTGGTTTAAGTCCAATTTAGACCAATAAGAATATGGACATATTTATTTTGGATTGGCCCAATCCAATAATTATAATGGACCGTCCAAATCCGATTTGAAAAGGTTTTGGATCGGATTGGATCCCATCCAAAACCTTGATTGACACCCATAAACCCAAGCACTCATATTTACAGAGGCCATGGTCTCACTTGACCATTGAGCTACTTAAGTCTTAAGTTATTTGATCATTTGTTTTCATTTTAATATTTGAATGTGTACAATAAGTAATGTAAAATGTAATATTTATAAAATTTAAATTTAAATTATAAGTTTTGAACCATATAATGATAATCTACGCACTAAATTATTCAATTTAATCAATAAAGATAATATAAGTTTTAAACTATATATTACATTTATTGAAAAATCAAGTTTTTAAAGAATATGTTTCTTTTCTTTTTCTTTTTTGAAAGGGGAGTAAAGAAAGAACAGGTCCCATGGGTAGACCTTGGAACCGACCCTAGAACTAACTTTCATAGGGTAGGTTCTGATTCCAAAAACCTAGAACTGACCCCTACAAGGTAGGTTCCAGGTTCTGCCATGGGACCAAACGAACCGACCCATGCTCACCCCTAAATGTATGCATAACTGATCTTCTCTTCTGGAGTTCAAAGATTTTATCTGCAAATCTTTCGCATCAAAGAGCGAAATCTAGGTTATTGCCTTGGACTCCAAGCATATTCTAATTTGTTTTGTATAGGAGGAAGATTATCTTAAGCTATGTTTGATTTGAAAGAAAATATAGCTAAGGTATGGGTAATAGAGGTTTCAAAGTTTTGAAAGCATATTCTGATTTCCCTTTCTTTCCTTATCTTTTCCTTCAAACAAACATAGCTGAGGTATGGCTAATAGAGGTTTCAAAGTTTGATGTTTTATCATTAGACTATTCAAGTGGGTTTTTCATTTCGAACTAGGCTAGGAACTTTTCATCATTCCGATCTCTAGATCAATTTCCCATTCCTACTGGTGAACTTTTATGTAGAGGGACTACTTGGATTGATTGCACGTGCAATCGACCTGGTACTAAAGTTTGATCAAACCACTRTCACGCTCTCAAAGACTATGGAGGCTAGGGCTTGCATCGAAGTAGATTTCTCGAACCCCTGCCCCCATAGAGTTTGGATCAGATTTGGAAAGCAAAGTTTTTGGCAACAAGTGGTTTATTAAAACCTACCACACTATTGTGAGATCTGTTACAAAATAGGGCATGCAGCGGTAAACTAGAAAAAATATAGAAAATTAGAAAAGTTCAAAGAAAATTAATGATAAGGAGAAGAAACCAACTTCACTAGTACAAAGAAAACTAGTGAAGTTGTTACTTCAACGCTACCACCTAGCATCTGCTTGGCATCGATGCTGTTGCTCCAGAAAACGGTGATACATCAACACCATATTGGAAAAAATGGTGCTCCAGGAAACGTCAATATGTTTGAAACTGTTTTTTCATAAAAAAATGTGCTCCAAGTATGCCTTGAAAATCGAGAAGGCATGGTTTGGAGCAATGCCGAATTCGACGTTTTTTTAGATTGGAGCTTGTTGCTGTCAACGAGGATATGGTGTGGCAGTGACGTGGACTTCCTATAATGAGTACTAGTGCTGAAAACAGATATGGAGCACTGATACCAAATAGAAGGTGTTACTGTTGCTCCAGGAAATGTCCTACCTGGCAACAATGCTTCCAAAAAAAAAGAATACATTGTTTTCTTAGAAAATGGTGCTTCCAACCCACACATCAGAAGTGTTGTATCTGCAGCATCGATGCCAAACATATACCTAGTGATTATTTCCTTTGATGCATAAACTACTATCGAGTTTAATGCTACGGTAATGAGACCTACAGTTATGATAATGACCCCCTTGAACTTTCACTTTGTGACAATTAGTGACAATTGCCCTTTTGAAATTTCATTTATGATAATGACCCCCTTAAACTTTCACTTTGTGACAAATACCCCTTGGTCATTAAATCAAGTGATGGGAATGTGTTAAATTACCAAAATATCCACATAAACTTTTCTTATTTTCTTTTCTCGTATTTTTCTCTTAATCCTTAATTGAACTAAAAATACCTTTATTTTTTCCAAACAAAACTAGTTAAAATATCAAGAATCATTTCAATGGCATAGAAAAACAAGTTTCTTTAAATTCTTATTTCATATCATTGACATGAATGTCTCTCTTCTCTTAAAATAAAAAAAAAACAACTATCCACTCATTTCTCTAAATTAAGAAAAACCAAATAATGAAACCTTAAATTTATATCTTGAGAAAGAAACCTCTAAGCCATTCCATTTAAATATTTAATCTAACTAGAAATCTGTAAGGATGTATTAGAGCAAATGAGAGAACTTCAATATTATATTTAAAAAAATAGTCAAATCATACATAATTCAAATAAATAAGAAAACATTAGTTTGGGGTTTAAAAAAAAAAATAAAAAGCTGAATAAAAATCTTTTTTGAAGTTAATGGATGGAACTCTAATGGAGGGGAGCAGCATCTGTCACAGTGAAACTTTAGGTGGTCTTTATCGCAAATAAAAACTTAGTGGGACACCATAGTACAAATGTCTTTATAATTTATAATAAAAAAATATCATAATACATAGTACGGGGAGTCCAGATCTACTCCTCATAGCATACCTCACACCAACCTGATATCATGTCCTTGAGGAGATGTTCATAATACGAGGTGGGATGTGATTGTGAGGTTCGGTGTAAGGTGCGCTCTTGATGAGCATATACTCTAGTCAATCATTAAGTATAGATCATGTAGGGGACAGCAACTGACCACTGGATCCGAATTGTTTGGTTTTGGATTTGAGTAGGCGGTAGGTCCCAATTTGATTGGGTTAGGAGTAGCATTATCCTTGCTCCATGTGGATTTAGCAATTAGAATATTCCAACTCTGAAAGCTGGTGGCATTTTAATACAATAACGCGCGCCACATTCCCACATTTTCTCCTCTTTTCATTTTTATCTTTTCCCATAACACCACCGAAACCGCCAAAACCCCAAAAGGTTAAAAAGCAAGAAGACAGCCAAACAAAACCAACACGAGCAATTTGATCTAATACTGCATATTTGAGAGGAGAGACCGAAGCCCTCCTCAGGGCGCCTCACACCGATCTCACATGAGGCGCCCATGTGTGAGAAGCATATCCCGTTCCCATATCTCACTATAAAACTGCAACTCACTATAAAAGTGGGATCCGCCGTGTGATGTAAATTCATGTTGATAGAGGGTTGGAACGCCTTGCGTTGGCAGGTTATCCGGACTCCACCTCAGTGCGTCTCACTAACATCCATGATCCACCTCTACGTACGGCGCAGATTAGAGACAACCCTTTTATGAATGGGAGAGAGGGTGAGAGACAGAAAGCAATCGATTGTATGCCATAAAACCAGTGAGCCCCACAATTGTGGGGCCCAATAATTTTATGGTCTTGATTGTAAGGGCAATGAAGCCAAAAGTACTCAATAATTACCCCTCTTTTAGTTATTTTAATATACTAATGAGAGCAGGAAAAAGAGATTTTTCATGGTAGAAAAGGCAGGAAAAACAGGCCTCAAAATCTACAAACCTTTTTCTTCTTCTTCTCTCCATTTTCTTCTTCTTCTTCTCTCCATTTTCTGTGAAGAAGAAGAAAAGGAGAAGAGAGAAGAGGAAGGGCGTGTACATATATCAATTTGTTTATTTTGCTGAGAAGGTTCAACTCTTCAAGAAGCTCACCCTGCGCAGAGTAGCATAACATGGCGACCAGGATTAACATGAACTGTGAGAACGCCTCACATCCACCGGGCCCGTCGCAGAACCACCACCTTCACCATACCCAGCAGCGGCGCCACCACCAAGACGACTTCTACCACTATCCCAGCTCCTCTTCCTCGGCCGCCTCCTTCAAGGGCTGCTGTTGCTGCCTCTTCTTGCTCATGACCTTCCTAGCTCTCCTCGTCCTCGCCGTGGTCCTTATAATCATCCTCGCGGTGAAACCCAAGAAGCCCCAGTTCAACCTCGAGCAGGTAGCCGTCCAGTACGTGGGCGTCACGGCCGGCCCGTCGCCGACAACGACGGGGGCGTCGCTGTCGCTTAGCATAAGAATGCTGTTCACGGCGGTGAACCCGAACAAGGTGAGTATCAAGTACAGCGAGTCGAGGTTCTACGTGATGTACCGAGGGGTTCCGCTCGGCTTGGCGGCGGTGCCGGGATTTTATCAGCCGGCACACAGTGTCAGGCAAGTGGAGACCACCGTTGGTGTGGACAGAGTCTACTTGACTGAGGGAGACGCCGCTGATTTGGTTAAAGATGCTTCTCTCAATGATCGCGTGGAGCTCAGGATTACTGGTGATGTTGGGGCGAAGATCCGAATTTTAGATTTCAATTCTCCCAGGGTTCAGGTTAGCACTTAGTAGCTACCCTCTATATTTTAGCTCTTATCCTCAATCTTCTTTTCTCTGTGCTAAAGTGACCACATTCCCCGTTGCTACTTTGCTACTGGTCTAATTCTTTGCTAACATGCTCCTCCATGTACCCTGGTTGCAGAAAGTGCAATAGGGTTTTTAAGTTCTTGTCTGGTTTTGTCATTTTGTTTTAGCTCCGCCATTGAGATGCTTGCAGAGTTCTGTTATCTGTTTTCTCAGTAAAATATAAATGAAATATGAATGGGTTTGTGGTGACAGGTTGCTGTGGATTGTGCAATAGTGATAAGTCCAAGGAAACAGTCACTGACATACAAGCAATGTGGAGTGGATAGCGTGAGCGTCTGAAAGGGAACTCTTGTTCTCCTTCTCTTTTATATATCTCTCTGTAGTGTCCCCTTTTATTTAACTGGGAAATCCTGAATCTTTACAACCTGAACTCACTCTCCAGACAAGGAATTTGGTTTATTTTGGAGAGGGAGGAGACCCCATTGAGAGAAGATGGAGAAAGAGAAAGAAAAACCCTTACCCAATTGCACTCACTCCTCTGTATGGAAAAATTTTGTTTACATTCAAATGCCAATTTTCATTGTTTTGATTGTGAATGGAGAGAATTGAGTAGAGCAGAGCTTATTACTTTCTATCCTGGTATGTACTATTGCTGTGGTAGCCAAGAGTTGATTCTAATTCATTCCTTTCCATTACTGGATCTATATTGAACACTGTTTCTTTAAAGGGAATGAGATCAGTCTGCATAAAATAATAATTAATGTCTGGAGATAACAGTCTCTTGTTTTTTTTCCTCTTCTATTCCTTGTGAAATTTTCTTCTATGAAACGAACTACAGAATCATGTTTTCTTCTAATGGTGTTACTCTCAAAGACGCTTAAATGGTAGAAGATTGGTCGGATTATAAATTTCTTCCCAACTCTGATCTCACTCGTTGTCATCACCACCAATGGAATTATGGAAATGCCCAACTAGGTCTGAGTGTCTGACCAGGTTGTACAACTGGGTTGTGGCTTGTGCCTTGTGGGTCGGCTGGTCCGACCATTCGGAATGTAAGATCTTTAAAGCTGTCAATGGGTTGGGTCTGGTTCGTGATGTAATCTGGACAATCTGATATTTGGAACCGGACCAATTATTAATCGTGACAATCGGGTCTGACCCAATGGTATGTTTGGTTTGAAGGAAAAGGTAGAGAAAGGAAAAGAAAGGTAGGAAAAGTAAGGAAAATCTTTTCCTTTAAATCAAACACAACCCAATAGACCAGATTATACTCGGTATCTATAATTACTTACTAAAATCTCATTTTGACAATATAATCTTAATAAAACTGAAGTAAAATATTTAACGATTGATAAAATGTTATTTTTAATCATAGTTGTTTTATATACTAGTTATGAAATTTACCATATTAAACATTAAATATAACAAAAATTATAAAAAATGAGATTTTTATATATTATTAACTAAATAATAGTTTAAGGTCTTAAGCAGCAAGAATTAGCCCCAAACCAATTATTAATTGGAAGTTGGAACAAAAACATAGAACTAGAAAGTTATAAAGGGAGGTCAGATTGGCACCCCACAGACGTTCTATTTTTACATGTACATCTCATCATGCATTGAGAACATTTTCCATATTTTCCCGTATTTTTCATGRAAAGATCTTTCCAATACACAGCTGTATGACCCATGTAGGACGTTGTTGCGAATTCCATTAAAGGGCCTACAACATACTTAACAAAATAAAAAGCAATTAAGGAGTTCACAATCAACTTAATGACTTAATTTACTAAAAATAAAAAGCAATGACCATTCAGTTCATCAAAGTGGCTTATGTGAGTCAGCAATGGGTGCTATACTTCTATTACAAAGCAATGCTTTCTTGAGTAAATGAAGAAAAAAAAAGATGTTGCCATGTATGAAAAACTCTGTTTTGATGGGCAAAAGAGAATATAAGCATTAGGAATCTCAACAGGTTCATCCCACACCCATCCCAATAATTCCAAGCTGATACGATATTTTTTCTTTGGAAGAATGACGGTTTAGCGCAGGGTCAGAATTCATAGGCACAAAGTATAGTTGGGGTAGATGCCAGTTCGAAATTGATGCTAATTCATGGGCAGGCATTGATACATAGGGTACATGCAGTAAAAATCAGAATTCTACGATGGGCCTATTCATAATTTTTCAGGTATTTTTTTTTTTAAATAAGATTCAAAAATACTACATACAACGAGAATAGTATATCCCCAAAAATCAGCAAGACAAATAAGAAAAAAAACGGTGGAGAATAAGTGCGTATCAAATCTGACCCTATTTTTATTATAATACAACTATACTCAATCATGTCTAAATTTACAAATATTAAAATGCTATAATACGAATCAAGGTTTCGTAAATGGGACGGAAAAAGAACTGATTTAACGACTAGTTTCCCGGTCAGATAATCTGATCATTCAGTCCGAATCCCGATTGGACAGTTTTTAGGTCCAAAACTGGTCCCAAACTCATGACCGTTCCTGAGTCAACTGGGTCAAATGATCTGATCGTTCAGTCCGAATCCCAATTATACAGTTTTGAGGTTCAAAACTGGTCCCAAACTCATGACCGTTCCTGAGTCAACCGGTCCAACCATCAGATCTAATCCGATTTTCAAAACCATGATACCAACTGTCAGACTTAAAACGGGTTCACCTCATTCTGAAACTTGATTAAGGTTGACCTATATCCAAGCAAGTTAGTGCTAGGTCATTGATTGCGTATGTTCGGTTTTCTTAGAGGCGTAAACCCTTATCTGAAAAATGGTACTTTAAGCATTTTTTTTGCTTTTTTTATTTAGTTGGACGTTTTATGGGCATTTCAAGTAAACATTTTTCCAAATGCCCCATATAGATAAATCAAAGGGTTTTAGTTTTCTAGTGTTTATTTGATAAACCATGGTTTTCAAAACCGGACCGGAAAAATCAGGAATCGGTTCCATTTTCCTCAAAAACCGGATTTTCCCCCTAAAACCATTGATTTTGATTAGTGAATTTCTGAATCAGGCAGTTAATTGTTCGAACGGTTTTGACCGTTTTTTATTTTTTTGTCAGAATGGGCCGAGTGTTCGGTTTGAGCGATTGGACCATTTGACTCGGTAACCGAACCCCTAACCGGTTCGGTCACCGGATCAGTTTTAAAAATCATATGATAAACAGTAAAACCAAATAGTGATTTTATATGCAATAAACACCAATACCTATATAACACTGATATAATAATATTTTTTTAATAAACACCCACAAAACCAAACACATAATAATAGAGCCTTCCACCACGAATACAGCAGAACATCAATATTTACCTGTGGAGATATGCTTTCTCCACGTCTTTATAATGGTTATTGATAACAAGATGATTAATGTATCTCTTTGCTCCTCGGGTGTAACTGAATCCATTCTTCCAACAAAAGTAAATACTATATGAGTCCGGATCTACTACATTTGTTGTGCACTTCCATTGAATCTGTGACAGATGTCTACATGTGTAGTTTTATCGTGTAGGTTTGACCTTCGAAGCCATATATATTCAAGGATCAAGGGGACGCCAAATGACCATCTCTTCTACCATATCTAATTTGTATATGTATTTATTTTTTATTAGCCCAGTTTTGAAAGAATACAAATATAAATATATAGTGTAAAATTTTATATTTTGTATTATTTTGTATATATTTGTGTTGTATATATTTGTATTTGCAATCTTTTAAAATTGAACTTTAGTGAGTTATTTATCCGAGTAAATACAGTTTACCTAGGTAAGTTTTTCTTGGAAAACACTTATCCAGGTAGGTAAGTGCATTTACCCATGTTCTTTTATTTTTCATGTAAATAAGGCAATGAACATTTTAGCCATAAAAATCCATTATTAAAATGGGCATTTTTGTCCTATTCAAGTATTGACAACTTTCCCCCTAGGTGAAAAAGTTATTTATCTACCTAGGAGATGGGTATCACTTATCTAGGTAAGTGGTACGTAGGAAAATAAATTTTTCCCAATCCCCACATAAATCTAAAAAAACGAATATGAGATTCTTGATCAATGGGAACCAAAATCCCATTGGCCAACTTTCCTCCCTCTCAAAATCCGAAAAAAGAATGCCCCAGTAAGCTGTTGAAACTCCCTTGAAGTTTGGTAATTGCAGTTATCTCCCTTGAACTTTCTAGCATAGTTGCAATTAGAATCCTCCAAAGAGAGTTACGAAAATGTCCAAAATACTCATATAGTAACTTTTGACCAAAATGTTTATTTTCCTAATTTTCTCTTCATATGAATATCTAGCCCAAACTCTTTCAATCTCTTTTCTGAAATTGATTTATTTTCTAAATTTTCCTTCGTATCAATCACTTAGACTCCATTTGGAATGAGTATAAATACAAATATGTAGAATGCAAAATCTTGTATTTTGTATGACTTTTATGTATTTGTACTGTACATATTTGCATTTGTACTCTTTCCAAGGCTCAGTTTGGAAGGAGTACAAATACGAATTTATAAAGCACAAAACCTTAAATTTTGTATTATTTTGTTTGTATTTGCACTCTACATATTTGTATTTATACTCCTTCCAAACTGAGCCTTAATGGCAAATCTACAACTTTAAATTCTCTTTCTTCTTCTTCTTTTTTTTTTGTTTATAAAATTTGTATTTGCTTTTCTCTAAAAACAACTTCAATAGTAACTACATGGGAATTTTGGATATTTTTGTGCCTCTTATTAGAGGATTTTAATAGAGGTGTCAGAAAGTTTAGGGAACGCGATTGCAATTACCAAACTTCAAGGGAGGTTTTAACAATTAACCCTTTTTATGGGTGGCATTCCCTCTTCCTTATGTAGTTTGATTTTTAATAGTCAATCTTAATAAGTTTTGTAATTCATATGTATTTACTTTTGATATTTAATATGTAGAGAATGCATACCAGTACGACCTTCAAGCCTAACCTATTCTTATAACCTGGTGCACCTTCACTAGTTGGAATTTGTGATGCTCTCTCCCCCAAAAGAGAAAGAAACAAGAGTAAATAACAATGCCATATAATCTCTAGGATCCACGTAGGTTATTGACAAGGTTTAAAGCATCATCATCATAATGAGCAGGAAAAGGAGGAGGGTAATTTCAAGAGATGCATTAAGATATGTCAAGGAAAACTTGAATATGATAAAAAAAAATATGGGTGCCACTATGATACGGAAAAGATATTATATCTGAAAAACAACTGACTAATAAAGTGGAATCATAAACGTGATAGCAAATAAGGGTTTTTTTTTTTTATCAAAATTCATGGATGGGTTTTGATTGGTCAAAACTCTTTCCATTCCATATCTTCAGGTCATGTTGGGGCCATGCCTGATTGGCATGAATTTGTCAAGTGGGAAGCCTAGCACGGCCCAAGGCTTTAAAGCATCATCATCATAACGAACAGGAAAAGGAGGAGGGTAATTTCAAGAGATGCATTAAGATATGTCAAGGAAAACTTGAATATGATAAAAAAAAATGGGTGCCACTATGATACGGAACAGATATTATATCTGAAAAACAACTGACCAATAAAGTGGAATCATAAACATGATAGCAAATAAGGGTTTTTTTTATCAAAATTCATGGATGGGTTTTGATTGGTCAAAACTCTTTCCATTCCATATCTTCAGGTCATGTCGGGGCCATGCCTGATTGGCATGAATTTGTCAAGAGGGAAGCCTAGCACGGCCCAAGGCTTTAAGCCCAATGGGCTATGGG